GCCCCACTTTTTCCTCTGACTCAGGCAGACCACCCAAGTCCATCCTGATTCACGGTCATCGTCTGGAGGGTCACTGTGATACCAGTGACCCTCAGTGCAGCACTCCCTCTGTGCCACGCACCGCGCTCACCTGCATTAGCTCAATGAATCCTCACAACATCCGGTGAGGTTGGCTTGAGTGTAATCCCATTTTACAGAGCAGAAAACTGAGCCTAGAGAGAGGTCAGGACACTTGCCCATGGTCATAGAGCTAGAAGGGGCTGAGACAACTCAAGCCAGTTTTCTCTGCCCGCAGGGCCTATGCTGTGACTAGTAGGTTTGCAGGGAGGGCTCTTCTCCAGCATCCCTTCATTTTTTTTTTTTTTTGGTCGCCCTGCTGTTTAAGCGATCTTAGTTCCCCCCACCAGGGATTGAACAAGGGCCCTTGGCAATGAAAGTGCAGAGTCCTAACCACTGGACCGCCAGGGAATTCTCCAGCATCTACAATTCGGCTAAGAAACCAAAGGAAAAAAGAGCTCCCCAAGCAGGCAAAACAGTTGGCAAACAGCCAATGCCCCAAAGCTGCCATTTAATAATAGCAAAGCCCCTTGTCTCTTGGTTTGCACACTATTGTGGCAGTAGCGGGGTTGGGGGAAGAGCAGATTAGAAGTGGTCCAGCAGGAGCGAGAAGGAGACCTGGTTCTTGCCCCGACCCATCCCCACTCTCACTTTCTCGCAGTTCCCCATGCCTCCCCCAAGCAGTGGGTGTGCCTTGGAGAAAGACTTCCCAGCCTTTTTTCGGAGCAGGGCACCCACAGAAAACCAAAACATTTATATAGCATCTGAGTAGTCTGGTGGTTATTGGGGGACGTTGGGAAGTTTTGATGAAAATTTCATACTTCATTCTTCATAATATATATTAGGATTAGAAACTGTGGTATAAAATATTAGGGAAGACTTTAAAGCTCAGTTTTGTATAAAACTTCCAAATAAAACATTATACTGGATAAAAGAAGACAGACACAAAAGGCCAGGTACTACATGATTCCATCCAGGTGACAGTTTGGAAAAGGCAAAGTCAGGGACAGCAAACAGATCAGTGGTTTCCAGGGACTGGGGTGGGAAAAGGGAATTGACTGCAGAGAGGCAGAGGAGAACTTTTTGGGGGGATGTATATATTCCATATCTTCACTGTAGTACTGGTGGCATGACTTTACATTTGTCAAAAATCATCAAAGTACAGAGAAAGACAAATACTGTATGATATCACTTATATGTGGGATCTAAAAAAAAAATACAACTGGTGAATAAAACAAAAAAGAAACAGACTCCTAGATACAGAGGACAAACTAGGGGTTACCAGTGGGGACAGGGAAGGGGGAGGTGCAGTAGAGGGTTAGGGGAAAAACAGGGTTATTATGGAATTATATGAAATCATGTGTGTGAAGCTTTTGAAAATTGTAAAGCACTATAGAATTTAAAGAATCATTCATTCAAAAAAAAAAAAAAAATCAGGGCTTCCCTGGTGGCATAGTGGTTGAGAG